GTGAGGGCATGAAGTTTTTCACCAGTGTGATGGGAGCTATCAGGGTTTTGCATCTTTTGAAATGGTCATACTGTTCTCTCTCTCTCTCCCCAGGGTTTCTCAGTGTAGCCCTAGCCTGGAGCTTACTCTGTAGACCAGTCTGTCCTGTCCTCTAACTCACTCAAAGATCCACCTGCTTCTTCTACACTCACAAGTGCTGTGATTAAAGGTGTGTTCCAGTATTTCTTTCTTTTTTCTTTTCTCCTCCTCCTCCTTTTCTTCTTCTTCTTGTTTGTTTTTCAAGACAGGGTTTCTCTGTAGCTTTTGGCGCCTATCCTAGAACTAGCTCTTGTAGGCCAGGCTAATCTCGAACTCACAGAGATCCACCTGCCTCTGCCTCCCAAGTGCTGGGATCAAAGGCATGTGCCATCACTGCCTGGTTCCTTTTTTTTTTTAATTATTTGTTATGTATACAGGGTTCTGCCTGCATGTATGCCTGCAAGCTGGAAGAAGGCACCAGATCTCATTACAGATGGTTGTGAGCCACCGGGTGGTTGCTGGGAATTGAACTCAGGACCTCTAGAATAGCAGTCAGTACAACTGAGCCATGTCTCTAGCCCTTCATCTCTCTCTCTCTCTCTCTCTCTCTCTCTCTCTTTTAAGGGGAAGTATTTGAGACAGCGTCTTGCTACACAGCTCACATTAACCTTGAACTCACAATCCTTTTGTCTCAGCCTCCTGAATGCTAGGATTATAGGCATGCACCGTCATGGTCAACTGTTCCTACCTTCGTTTGTCTGTTTGCTCCTTCCTTTCCTCTTTTCTTCCTTCCTTCCTGTCTTCCTTTGGGATTACAGGTGTGCACCACCAAAGTGGTCCAAGTGTGTGCATGTGTATGTACATGAGTATGTGAGTCACATGTGTGTAGTGGCCAGAGACCAATGCTGGGCATTTGCCTATTAGTCTCCATCTCACTTTTTTTTAGAAGATGGTATCTGTCACTGAACCTGGAGCCCACAGACTGGGCTAGACCATCTGGCCAGGCAGTCCCATAGACCCTGTATCTACCTTCCCAACCCTGGAAGAACAGCCATGGACGACAACATGACTTTTACATGACTTTTTACATGACTCTAGCTAGCCCTTATGCTTCTGCCGTAAACATGTTGCCAACTGACTCACCTCTCTGTCTTTTTTTATTTTTAGTTCTATTGATACTCAAATAGATTTTCATATGCTAAGCTCATTTCAAATCACTTACAAAGATTTTTTGTGGTTGGTGATGTTCGGTTCCTTTAATTCGTTGATGAGTTCCATCTGCTAGCATGTGTTCCGGATGTTTGTGTCCATCTTCATGAGTCATGTTGGTCTTGTGATGTCTTCGTCTGGTTTTGGCATTAGGACAATACTGGTTCCATGGCACAATCTAGAAAGTGTCCATGCTTACACTTTTGAAAAGTTTGTGGGGGCTGGAGAGATGACTCAGAAGTTAAGAGCACTTGCTGCTCTTGCAGAGGACCCAGGTTCAGTTTCTTTTTGGTTCTGGGGAATCCAAGGCCTTCTTCTGGTTGCTATAGGCATGAAGCACACAACAGTGCACTTTAACACATGCAGGCAAAACACCCGTACACATAAAATTAAATACATATTTTAAAAAACTTAGCATTTTATTAGGGTGAGTGTATGTGTGTCCATGTCCTGGGCAGGCTGGTTCCCTGGCTCTGAAATGGAGAGACTGAAGAAGAGCAAAACAGTCCCAAACTAGAAACATCATGTCCCTGAGAACAACTACAGGGAGAAACCATTTCCAACAGAGGTGACCATCGCTCATCCCATGGTTAAAAAAAAAAAAAAAAAAGATTACATTTTAAAGCAGAAGTTCACTGAAGTGAATCAATCAGGAACTCCATTTGACAGCCTCAGTTTCCCCGATCCATCTCTGCAGGATGGTTTTAAGCCTCGTTTGATGATATTCCTTCTGTGCGCTCTCTCAATCAGGTTACTCCGTCATCTCTCCTAGATGCTAAAAACTCCTGATTCAATGTTTGTTATGTATCTGTTACTTGTTATTCATTCATTTACTTTTGTTTGCTATAACTTAAGCCCATTCGAACCCCCAAGTATGGCTGTTGTAGGTAGATAGTACAGAACACAGGGTTTCTGTCCCAGGATGGACTCGAACACGGTCCTTCTGATCCTCCTGCCTCCTCCACCTTCCAAATGCTGGATTAGGAGCATATATCACCACACCTGGTTGTGTACTGCTGGGATTCAAACACAGAGCCTTGTGCATACAAAGCAAGCACTCAGTCAATTGAGCTACATCCTCAGCAGTGTTTTCAAAATGTATCCCTATCCAGATCTGTCCTCTGAGCCCTTTGGACCATCTGTTTCCTTTCTTCCCTGCGATGCTCCCCTATCACCCCATGAGAAGCATCTGTCTCAGACAAAAAGATACAAACTTCTTATGCTGGGGATCGAACCTGGAGCCTTCAGTGCAAGAGGCAAGGGTTCGACCACTGAATTCCCAGTCCTTTGAGGAGCATAGAACTCTATTATCATTTCCCAAGCTTCAAGCTTGGAATGAACCTAGATCCCAACCGTCCTCCAATGTTGGTTATTAAGTTTATGACTACACTTCAGACCCACGGCTGTGAGTCCACAGATGATACCACCTTCCCTTGCTTGAACTACTGAAGTGGTCTCCCCGCTTCCCCTCACCACTTACTTGTTCTGTCTCCCTTCAAGCTGCATACGCTGGAGCCACAGTAGGATCTTTCTTTCTTTTTTTAAAAAGCATTTTTTTAATGTTTTGTGTATGAATGTTTGCCTACATGGATGTGCATGCACCATGTGTGTTCCTGGTGCCCATGGAGGCCAGAAGAAGGTATTGATTCTCCTGGAACAGGGGTTACAGACGGTTGTAAGTGCCGGGGGCTGAATCCAGACCTTCTGCAAGAGAGTAAGAACTCTTTTCTTTATTTTTTTATTTTCTTCTCTCTCTCTCTCCTTTTTTTGGGGGGGGGCTTTTTGAGACAGGGTTTCTCTGTGTATCCTTGGCTGTCCTGGAACTTGCTCTGTAGATTATACTGACTTCAGACTCAGAGATCCACCCGTCTCTGCCTTCCGAGTGCTGGAATTAAAGGCGTACACCACATTCTTTTTGAGATAAGGTCACACGCTGCTTGGTGGGCCATTCATCCTGTCAAGAATGGCCTTGAACTTCTGTTCTTCCTGCCATCACCTCCCAAGTGCTGGAATTATGGGCAGGTACCACCATGCCTAACTTAGAGCAGGGTGTGCTAGCTAGTTTTATGCCAACTTGACACAAACTGGAGTCACTGGAGAAGAGAGAGCCTCAGTTGAGAAAATGCCTCCGTAAGATCAGGCTATAGGCAGGCTTGTAGTGTATTTCCTTAATTTTCGATTGATATTGGAGTGCCCAGCCCATTGTGGTTGGGACCATCCCTTGGCTGATGGTCCCGGGTTCTATAAGAATGTAGGCTGAGGGCTGGAGAGATGGTTCAGTGGTTAAGAGCATTGCCTGCTCTTCCAAAGGTCCTGAGTTCAATTCCCGAAAACCACATGGTGACTCACAACCATCTGTAATGAGGTCTGGTGCCCTCTTCTGGCCTGCAGACATACACACAGACAAAGTATTGTATACATTAAAAAAAATAATGTAGTCTGACTAAGCCATTGACAGTAAGCCAGTAAGCAGGACCCCTCTATAGCTACTGGCCCCAGGTTCCTGACCTGTTTGAGTTCCTGTCCTGACTTCCTTTGATAATGACCAGCGCTGTGGAGGTCTAAGTTAAACAAACCCTTTCCTCCCCAACTTACTTTTTGTTCATGTTGTTTGCAATAGTAACCCTGACTAAGACAGGGTTTCTTTCTTCCTTTTTTAAAAAAAATTATTTATTTATTATGTACGTAGTGTTCCACCTGCATGCATGTCTATGTGCCAGAAGAGGGCACCAGATCTCATTACAGATGGTTGTGAGCCACCATGTGGTTACTGAGAATTGAACTTGGGACCTCTGGAAGAGCAACCATCTCTCCAGCCCAAGACAGGGTTTCTTAAAATGAAAATCTCGTCATCCCAACTTGCTGAGACTTCATCCCCAAGCATCTTATTCAGGCAAGGTTCAAACCCAGCCAGGCCTCTGACGCCCCTCGCCTTGTAGCCTCATCCCTCATCCAAGAGACTTCTCACAGCATGGCTCCTGGCCCAAGATCTCCAGTGAACTTGTAAGGAGCAGGCAGAAGTTTCGGCCTACAGCGCACCTAACAGGAAATTCTACCACACACCGAAGTTACAAAGTCCACACATAAGGCCTTGGCTCCTGCTCTGCCGTGCTTTCCTCTAAGCCTACACTCGCTGCTCCCTCAGGCTGAATGCCTCTTCCTTTCTGAACTCCTGTCTGTCCTGAGTTGGCCCGACACTGGGCTGGTGATGCAGGCTCAGGACTCTGGAGACTGAGAAAGGCAGAGAGTGAGTTTCATGACAGCTTGAGACCTTGTCTCAAAAGAAAAAGAGGACTGGACACGAGGGGTATGCTAAGTGGTAGAAAGCTTCCTTAGTATGCTCGAGCCCCGAGTTCAAGCCCCAGTGCCACAAAAAAAGAGGGGGAGACAGGCCAACTTGGGCTTTCCATGGCTCTTCCTTCATGTTCTTTTGTATTTCTTAACGACCTGGGGTGGCAGGAACCAACATCCTGTCATCACAGTTCCCCGGCCAGGCTCAGGGGAGCAATACGAACATATTCAATTAGGGCTGGCTGCCAATCAGGAAGAGTGTGCGGAGGGTCTGAGATGGCTATCGGCCCAGTGTCCCACACATTTCCCAGCAGAACGGTGAGCGACTCCCCTGTCTGCCATCAAAGCCCCATGACATGTCATCTCAGGCGGCCGACTCCCCCACTAGTTCCCCTTCTTAGGGTCACGCTGAGAATCAAAAACCTTTTCCTGTTAAAGACGCCCTCCCTTGTCACGTGATGGAAAGTAAACAGGACTCAATATTGCCCTTCAGAAGACGCCTTTATTGTAACATAAAATACACAATTTTGTGGCTGCCCCAATTTATACACAATACTTTTTGGTGGCTATATACTAATCTGCCTGGACACTAAAATATGTATCTGAAATACAATGTTAAAAAGAAAAATTATAAAAGAGCATTTTCATTGTAAGAGACAGCCACTTTGAATCTCCTTCCACCCCTACAAAGCCCCACACATGCCACACTCCAAGCTGAGACCTTTCTGGACTCACCTGTGTGTCTGTGAGCAGGCAAGAGGTGGGCGGAAACCTGCCCTTGCCAGGTCTCTGTGTGCAGGAGTGGGGCAAAGGGAGAGCCCAGCATGCAGACAGGGAACACAGCTTCCAGTTAAAAGCCTCTCCCACCTCCAGGCACAGCCCCAGGAAAAGCCAGGGGAGCGAAGCAACTGTGCAAGAAGTCTTGCTTTTTGGCACCTTCTTCTCCAAACCAACTTGAGAGTAAGCATGGAACCTTCCAGGGGTTCCAGGCTGCTCTGCTACTCCCACGCCCCGGGGCCATGTCCACTATAAGTCTAGAAGTGTGTCAAGTCCACACCCGTGTGAGGGTTACAGGGACAAACAGGCCATGTGACAGGCGGGGGAGCGTCCCTTAGGCCTGGAGTCCTCCAGCAGCTCCAGCTTCCTCCTGAGGGGCAGGGAGGGGCCTCACACCTCCTCCATCCCCAGCGAGCACCTGAGGCAAGAGGCTACCACCAGGCATAGAAAAATCAGTGTACAAAACCAAGCCAAGGCAAGCAGCAGCTTTTAAAAAGTCTTCTTCCAATAAATAATGTACGACACAGGAGTATTTTCCTTAGCAGTAAAACACTGATAAATTCAGAAGTTATTTTTGTAAAAAAAATATGTTTATTTACTTGCATGTATAAAAATAAGGTTTTGGGGTCCTCCTCTCCTGGGTGTGGCTCTGCCCTTGTTTGGAGAGGAGGCCAAGGAGGGCTTTGCAGGCCTGGGTGGTAACTGTCTCTGCTTGCCTCTCTCCCTGCCTGCCCACTGCAGTCCCTTCCTTCCTTCTGGTGACTCTGCAGAGGAGGCTGGAAGAAAACCACCGCGGAGGCTTTGGTTCTGTTTCTACAGCTTACCAAACGTCCTAGCACACCTGCTGACTGCGTTTCCCTAACTCCCAACAGCACCCAGCACCCTAAAGGGGTGGCTGCCTGCTTGGCAGGCTGCCCCAGGTGCAGGTCACAATTCCTACCCCCTACTCCTCAGGACACCACGTGACACTGAAGGGAAAAGAGGTGACCTGGGTACAGAGGACCCAGGACTTGATACCGGAAGAGAGAAACTTGATGTCAAATTAGGGTGCAAATGGGGAAAACATAAAAAGACCTGGTTTAGAGACAAAAACACCACTGGACATTTGCCGAAAGCCATTATCAACAAGCTTCTAGAAAAGCCTTGGGTGACGCAGGTGCGGCCTTGCCACAACACAGTGGGGAGGGTGGCACAGAGGGGCTATGCCCAGTGTCTGGAGCCAGGACTGCGCACACCACCCACCCCACGCTGGCAGAGCACGGGGCACCTGTAAGCTCCGAGCAGGGTGGCCCTCCTTCCTTTCCACTATTGTTAAACATATCCACATGAGTACACACACAGAAGCTGAGGGGCAACTCTAGAAACAGAGAGATCGAGGAAGCAGAGGACAAGGAGCCAACGCTAAGATGGGTTAAGTGGTGGAAACAGCCACCACCCATCCAGAAACCTGTGCCACCCTTGCCCCAGCACTCTTTATGCAGCTTCCCGTTCCATCCATTGTGCAAAGGGGGCGGGGGATGTGTGAGGCACCGGCTTTCTTCCTCAAGAAACAGTCATCTCCATCTCAGAAGACAGGTGCAGACGGGGACAGCTTGCTTGGACTATGGACTGCCTGGCAGAGGGACGAAGGCTCCCCAGAGAGGAGGTGCTTTTTCCTCTCTTTGTCCTTCTCTTACTTGAACAGTCACGTGTCAAAGTTCAGCCACCCTTAAGACACATGGCCGGGTTCCAGGGTTCAGGGAACCGGCTCCTTTTCCCACAAGGTAAAAACAAGCCTGGCCCCTGCCCTGGTAACTGCGGCTTAGACTGGACAGCAAGGGATGGGAAAAACACAACGTGCAAACTCACACACTCACACTCACGCACGCTCCCTTCACTGGTGCCACTATGCACAGAAATACTAACGTCACAACTAGTATTAACACTTCACATTATGAGTATTGTTTCCAAAGAGAAGCGATTCATGGAATTAAAACATCCACGAGAAGTTCCTCCAAGAGGACGATGAAGCTGCAGGAGGCGAGGTCTGGTCATGACTGCGCATGAGGGATCCACTGACTGTCCATGGGCCGGCCCAAGAGTTCCTCCACGCGCCGAGCCACGTCCATTGTGTCTTCCAGATCAAAGTCCCCATCGGTGTCGAGGACAGGGTCGGGGCTTCAGAGGGAAAGACAGATGAAGGGAGGACCAAAGGTTATCAGAGGTCATCTGAAACCCCACAAGCCATCAGGGGAGAGATCTGGGCTGTCCCTTCCTCCTAGGCCCTCATTGGAGAGACCCCCTGATACAGTAAGAGGCCTCTGCTGGCTAGGTCTGCAGAGACCCAGTTCTCAGTACCCATCCTAGCTGCCTGCATCCAAACTCCACCTCCACCCAGTCCTTAAACAGAGTGGCAAATCTCCATCTTCAGAGAAGACAGGCAGATGCATTGCTCATGGCCACTGATGCTATCAGGAGGAATCTCCCCCTCCCACAGGCCATGGTCTGGGCCTAGGCTGTATGAGGTCAGATCCAGAGAATCTTCAAACCCCCCCCCCCCCCCCGCTCTTCCTGGCCTTAGGAAGTCCATCCTGAGTCCAATGCCCCAGTACTTCCCCATATGCCCCCAAGAGTGTGACCTACTTCTGTGAGTACATATTGTAGTGAGCTTGGGGGCACACTACTGGGGAGGGAGCCTGGTCCATGTAGGTGGCGCCACTCCCTGCGTCTGTAGATGCATTAGCAAACCTGTAGAAGGAAGCAGAACACAGTCTCAGGGACATGGACTAGAGGAGGAATTGAGGACATCTTAGCGTCTTTTTCAGGACATAGGAGGTTAGACCCCAGGGGCTTGGTCACAGTGCAATGGAACTTGGTTCCTTCTCAAAAGCTGAACTGGGTTTACCAGGGGGATTAGGGATGCTGGACTCAGCAGCAGAGAGTGATGCATGCTGGGGGAAGAGGTACCAGGAGAACAGAGCTGGGCCCTGGACAACTTACTCAGGGACCACTTGCTTGATCTGCGGCTTCACGTATCCGTCGGCTGCTTTTGCTGCCGGGGAGAAGAGCAATGTAAACCGGAGTCCCGGAGACACCTCCCTCAAGAACCCATCTTTTCTTGGATTGGGACAGAGCCACCTAATCTTAACTCAGGACATGACATGGCATGTAACATTTCTGTCTGCTGGGAGGCCTGCAGCACTAAACCCACAAATCAGTCGCCTTCCAGGTCGGTTGGTGTGATCCACACAGAGAAGACAGACACTTCCATGAGCATCTAGTCAACTGCTAGTGCTAAATATTTGTGAAAGTAAGGGTTTTTTTGTTTTGTTTTTGTTTTTGTTTTTCCTTTTGTGACAGGATCTCACTATGAAGGTTAGGCTGGTGGGGAACTCCCCATGTAGTTGAGGCTGGCTTCAAACTCAGAGATCTGCCTGCCTCTACCTTAGGAGTCTGTGACTATGTCTGACTCTGTCTGATCCTAGGGCATCACTCACACTAGGCATAAACTCCACCACTAGGCTGTGTCCCCCGCCCTGTTTCACTCTTGGTTTTGAAACAGCGTCTCACTAAATTGAACATGATGGCTTTGAACTCACTCTCTGCCCCAAGCAGGTGCTATGCTTTGGGTCCTCCTGCCTCAGCCTCCCAACTGAGATTATATGCCTGGGCCTACAGGCCTGATCGAAAAAGAAAAGCTTTAGAAATTCACAGTCGGGGCCTGGAGAGATGGCTCAGTGCTTAAGAGCACCGAGAGGACCCGGGTTCACTTCCCAGCACCCACATTGTGGCTCACAACTGTCTGTAACTCCAAGATCTGACACTCTCACACAGACTACATGCAGACAAAACACCAATGCACATAAAATAAAAACAAGTAAAATAAATAAAATTCGTAGTTGGAACTGGCAAGATAGCTCAGTGGGTAAAGGCTCTTGTCACCAAGCTTGATAACCCAAGTTCCATCTCCGGGACCCACACTGCAGAAGGAGAATGCTGACTCCTGTAGACTGCCCTGACTTCCACATTTGCACCATGGCATAGGTGTGCATCACACACAACACACAGAGGCAAAAGGCAGATAGATTGGACTTATATGAATAAAGGATTACCCATTTTCTTATGTGTATATATTCATGTTCATGTGTGTTCATATGAATGTGCATACGTGTGAGAATGGGTGTGCGCCCGAGCACGCTGGGGACAGAGGACACCTCGGGCATCTTTCCTCAGGCACCACTCACCCACCTTTTTTTTTTTTAAATTTTGAGACAGGGTGTCTCTTTGGCCTGGAACCCAATGAGTAGGTTAGGCTGGCTGGCCAACAAGCCTCAGGGATCCACCTGTCTCTGCCTCCTCCATCCCAGGATTACAAACGTGTTTTACAATTTTTGGTGTTTTTTTTTTTTTTTTTTTTTTTTTAGCGTGGGCTCTAGATATCAAGCTCACAGCAAGTACTCTACTGACTGAATGATCTCCTCAGCCTCAGGTAAGTCTATTTTCTTTGTAAAACTGTAACCTCAAGAAGAAACTAAGGAAGGAATACAAACTTTACAAATGGTGGCTGAAGAATCAAGGTTCAGGAACTAAGGTAAGCTGAAACCTTGGCTTGGCATCACACCCCAGCCATGTGACCTTTGGCGAATTATTTTATTTCTCCATGCCTCAGTTTCCTTTTATGTACAACAGGAGTAACAGTCACACCTCACAGAACTTGCTCAAGGATTTAAATGAGATACCTTGGTGGTCTGAATAAGAATGCCCCTCCCAATAGGCTCATATATTTGAATGCTTAGTCACCTGGAACTGTTTGATAGAATTTGAAGGATTAAGAGGTGTGGTGGTTTGAATAAAAATGGCCCCCATAGGCTCACAGGGAGCAGCAGTGTTAGGAGGTGTCCTTGTTGGAGGAACTGTCACTGGTGGAGGGCTTTGAGGTCTCGGACGTTCTGGTGAGGTCCAGTGTGGCAGTCTCTTCCTGCTGCCTGAGGATCCAGATGTAGAACTCTCGGCTCCTTCTCCAGCACCATCTGCCTGTGGGCTGCCATGCCTCACCACGATGATAATGGACTAAACATCTGAACTGTGAGCCACCCAATTAAATACTTTCCTGTATAAGAGTTGCCGTGGATACGGTGTCTCTTCACAGCAATAGAAACCCTTAGACAGGAGGCGTGGGCTTTGAGGTTTCAAAATTCCATGCCAGGTCCAGTCTCTCTCTGCCCGCAGATCAGGATATAGCTCTCAGCTACTGCTCTAGGGCCAGGCATGCCGCTATGCTCCTTGCCATGATGTCAATGGACTAAGCCCCTGACACTGTAAGCAAGCCCCTAGTTCAGCAAATGCTAGCTGCTGCTACTATGTATTATTCTGAAGTTATCATCGTATGTAAAGGTTACTTAGAATCAGAGAAATACACAGAAGACTTATAAGATAGTTTCTGTTTGTCTGGTTTTTGTTTTGAGACAGGGATTCTTTGTATAACCTTGGTTGTCCTGAACTCACCCTGTAGACCAGGCTGGGCTCAAATTCATGGGGATCCACCTGCCTCTGCCTCCCGAGTGCTGGGATTAAAAGTGTGCACCACCACTGCCTATCTATAAGGTATGATTTTTATGCTAGCCAGACTGGCAGACATGAAGTTGATGGCTAACCTGTGGTTGGCAAGAGGACAGGGAAGCAGATGTCTGGCAGTTATCTATGGGGAAAGGGAAATTGGCCTTTTGAAAGCAGTTTTGGAAAGGTGAGTCTAAAAGCTTAAATGCATATGCCCCTTTATCTAATTCTGCTTAGGAATTTATCCTAAGGAAATAACTGAGCAAGACACTTGTGCTAGGTTATCTCAGTATCAGTCATAAGTGAAAATGAAATAAATGAGAATTGTAATTACCTATCCTTGAATACAGTACAGAGTCTATGTAATGGAATCCTGTGCAATCGTGAAGATGACACGGCATGGATGCATTACTGACCTGTAACTCTTCATCCCCCACCCTCTTCCCTCCTAGAGACAGGGTTTCTCTGTGTAGCCCTGGCTGTCCTGGAACTCATTCTGTAGACCAGGCTGGCCTCAAACTCACAGAGATCTGCCTGGCTCTGCCTCCTGCATGCTGGGATTGAAGGAGTGCACCACCACCACCAGCTCTGACCTGTAACTCAATGCGTATGTGTGTGCGTGTGTGTGAAATCAGGGCACAAAGGATTATGGCTTGACCTTTCACCCTGGCCTCAGCTCCCACCACCAGCTTCCTGCTTGGCTGGAAACAGTCTCCTTGGCTCTGGGGAGCTTTTTGGCCATCCCAGCTGTACTTGCTCTCTTGGCCTAGGATGTCACTCTCTGTCTTTGCAAAGCCAGCTTTCTTACTTTGTTCAGGTCTGTTCACATGTCACTTCCTCAGAAGCCTCCCCTGACCACGCTAGAAAATTGATGCTCCCCTCCCCGACACTTCTCCATCCCTTCGCTTTTGCTCTCTTGCCATTCAGGGTATCCATTGCTAAGTAAACACACAGCATTGTTGACTCACTTGCTGTTTTCTTTCTCTGACCAGGCTGCAGCCTCCACGTTAGAAGCTCCCAAATTCCCGGGGAAGAACAGAACGCACACCTACAGAATGTTGAAGGATGCCACTGAACTGTCAACAGGGGCTAACTGGCTAATTTCCACGTGTGTGTGATGCCTTTCTTGCTGACAAATCTGTGTTATTTCCTACAATTTTTACAATAATATGGAATATTTTGGCCAGGAGTGGTATTGTGTAACTTTAATCTCTGGCGTCCAGGAGGCAGAGGCATTTTCATTGCCAAAAACTGCATAGGGTTCAGATCTGCCCTGGGTATTTCTTGAACACCAGTGGGGTACTGCTTGGATTTCATTCAGGAAAGAGATTTGCCCACCCGTGTATACACCCACGTACACATATATACACATGTATGTACACACATACTAGCAAAAACTCAAAACCAAAACTAAAGTCAGTACAAAAGCCACCACAGATGGACACTCACCGGTGGCAGGCTCGCATGGGACTGGTGTATAGTACTTAGAATATACTTCATCCTTTGGCCGGTCAGGAAACACGTATATGAGGTAATTCAAGTCCCCCAAGCGGTCAGCCAGGGACCGGATGGAGAAGTCTCTAGTGGTAAAAGGCATCAGATTCCAAAACATTCTTTCCTCTAAATCAATAAACAGAAGAATCACATTCTAACTATGATTTTCGAATGAGAGATTTTAAAATCCACAGACTTAAAATCCAAGCCCCTTATTAAAATCACGCCGATAGAAACGCTCATCCCAAACAGCCACAGGTATAGGCAGGGTCTCTTCAAAGTCTTGGTGCACGAGCAGATGCATATGTCACTTCCCCAGAAATCCAGAGAGCCCAGAGGGCTCAAGAGCAAGTAGAGTCCTCCCTGTCTAAAAGAAACAGCTTTGGGGCTGGACAGACAGCTTAGCAGTTAATAGAGCTTGTTGTTCTTGCAGAGGACTGGGGTTTGACTCTCAGCACCCACATGATGGCTTACAATCATCCATAACTCCACTTCCAGGGGATCCTAAGACCTTTTTTGGCCTCTGGGAACTGCACACGAGGTGAACAGGCAAACATGCAAGCAAAACACCCACATACAAAATAATAAAATAAAGAAAAGTAGCTCTTAAGGACTCCCGTCTTATTCTCTAGGATGCTCACCCACAGTCAAAGAAAGCCTAGGAGCTGGTCAAGCTGGGAGACTCTCTAAACCGCAAAACACAAGCTAGCATGCTACTGTGCTTCGCCGTGAGGGGTTGGACTGAAGAAGGGACATTCCTGGGTGGCAATGTTCGGTGGCAACACCTTCCATTAATTAGGGAATCATGGAGCTATTGTATTATTACTGTTCAGGTGACTGGAACGATGAGCTCCGGCCTGAGTAACAATGAGGCAGACATCTCAAAAGGGAAGTGGCTGCGACTCTGCCCGCTGCCCATTCTGAGCCTCGCTTCAGTATTTCCCATAATAAGATTGCTCACAGGCTGCCTTCCGAGCAGCTGTGTCATGGTTGTGTTAGCAATTCCTGTAATGAGGACTGGCCCCAGCAAACTCTGCTCTCAGTAGGATGGGTTAAAATCATTTTTCGACAAAAGCAGCTAACTTTGGACATAAAGCCAAAGTGTGTCGCCAAAAGGGAGAGGCACTCACGAGAGTCAAACTTCCAGGCAATGGTGATGCCTCCGATTTCAGAATCGCTGAATCTCAGCAGGAAGGTTCCATCTGGCTTGTTGATGAGTAGGTCGTGGGCCTGCTGCTTGTTCACGAAACCCAAGATGGCCCTGGAGCAAAGAAAGAGTCAGAGGGTAACAATGCCAGAGAGAAAACTTGTGTATTCTAGTACTGACTAACAGATGACTGCAGCCCAACTGAGGCAAGAGGATTGCTTGAGCTCAAGACCAACCTTGGCAACATATAATAAAAATAAATATGCGAAATAAGCAATAAATGGGGAGGCTCACCCGTCATTCCAGTGAGGCTTGAGATGTTTTTTTAACACTTCCATCACCCCGTCAAACCACTGCCAGAAAGTATAATTCCGTCCTGGCAAATTCTCCTGGTTGGAGACACAACAGTGAACAGGAAGAAAACGGAGTGAGCGTTGGGAGATCAGTTGCATGGATGACAGAGGCACTTTACAATTTGCTGTAAAGATACTGGCCCTGTATTCTGTAGAAAGATCCTCCACATGGATCCTGCTACGGACTGGCTTGTTCTGAATTAACGTTAAATCTAGACGCCGTCTAGGAAGTATACAAGATTCAGTGGCCTTGGTGTATGTGAACCCACCTTCTGTTACACAGAGCAAGATGGCAAGGAGGGGAACAGGAATCTCGGGGACAAGGCCCAGCTGCTGGAAGCATAAGGCTGAACCCTGAGGACCAACTGTCAGAAGGATAGGACTGAGCTCTGAGGACCCAGCTGCTTAGAGGACAAGACTGAATTCTGGGGACCCTGCTACCAGAAGAAGAAAACTCAACTTTGAATTGGTTTATTGCCTTTGTTCAGATTCTCTGTAAAAATGTGTGAGGAAGAGATGGGGAAGACAGATGTGGCTCTGACTTCCCAGACTGTCAAATCCTGGCTTGTGCTTATAGACAGGCAGCACAGGCTGCCTACAGACATCTCCACTATCAGAGGCGAGCAAACGTCCATACCTGTCTGCCTTTCACCAGCTGGCCTTACAGCCCCAAAGACAGACCGCAGAGGAAAGGGAGAAGCCAAGGGCAAAAATCTCAGTGCTGGTACCAACCCCCCTTCCCCCAGGAACCCTGCTACACCTTCAGCTAGATTTGGTAGACTTGCTTTGGGCCATTTCTGATGTGTGGCCTGTGACAAACACCATCAGCATCCCCTGGGAGATTCTGAGAAATGCACATTTTCCCAGGTCCACCTCAGATCTGCTATGAATCACAGCCAATACTTTAACAAGACGCAGGGTGGGCTCGTAGATCTGACCTGAATTAGATCACATGAAGCCACAGAAATGCTGACATCTCACACACACACACACACACACACACACACACACATTCCCAGTAGTTATCAGCCAAGTACAGTAACCAGGTTCTGTGGGAGGCAGGGGCTTCACCACAGTGGCAAAGACAGGCCACTGAGGCCTCTTCTGATGTGAGTAGCTGTGAGCACAGAACAACTCAAAGACTCAGAAGCCACAACCTCTCTGAAATAAGGGCATCTGAAATTCTGGGGTGAAGACATATGGGGGTGGGGGGTGAAATTTAATCGAAAAATCAAAGATCCTGACACAATCACAGATTTGACAGATGCCAGAGGAAACGGCTCCTCTGTCCATACCCCTTCCAGGGTTGCGGGTCCCCAGAAGCCTGAGCTGGCATTCCACATCTGCTGGGACAGAGCTGGGGAAGGAGCTTGGCTAGTGTTGCTACACCGTTTCCTTCATAAAGGAAGAAATGCATTGACTGCAAGCAAGGTCTGGCTTATACCATGAAAAGGTGTGACTCTGTGTGAGCCCCACTGCCTCTCAAACTATCCATCTGCACAGATGTTTCTATGACTTGGGGTAAAGGTATGAAAAACCGGGGCCCAGGGCAGGGAAACTCCAGCAGGCCAATGTGTGGAAAGATTGGAGTAAGAGCAACTGGCGGCTGGCCGCTCACCCGGTTGAACTGGGACCAGGACACGGACATGCTGTTGTAGTCCTCGAGGTGGCTGCTGCTGCTGTTGAACAGCTTCTGTGCCAGGAACACCAGGTTCTCCTTGGTCAGGCCCCGGTTGCTCTGCACTTCGGCCTTGAATTTCATGTTGAGCGCTTCACACAGCTGCGGCCACAGCACCTTGTCAGGCACGGCAAATGGCACCCTGCCCTGAGAGGGGGAGAAGCCAGCATGAGAGGGCAGCTGCACGACTGCGTCTCCTCAAGCTGCAAAGGAAAGACAGCAATGGCTGGGGAGAATCAGAAAGATCTGTCCTGCCAAACCTGAGCACAGCCAGACTTTCGTGGGATGTCTGGTTCTGAGACACACGAGGTCTACACAGCTAGAGGGCCACCTTGTGTTTGGTGCACTGGTTTGGGAGCTGCTGACCAAGTATGGCCAAGTTGTGGCTCATGGTCTAGATTCACGGGAAGTTTAGATATTGAAAACAGTGGTGGTGGCTCCTGTCTCAGCACCCAGGAGGGGCAGGACCTCAAGGTCATTTTCTGCTTCACAGAGTTTGAGGTCAGCCTGGGCTACATGAGACACCATACGGGGGAGGGGAGGAAGAAGGAAAGAAAGAAGCAGAGCAAGACTGGTTTTCTAAGTGAGCACAGAAGGAATGGGCACATACAACATGCATGGCTGCAAGTGTAACTCTTGCCCTTGACACCTGCCAAGAACTCTAGCTCAAAGTGAAGCAACTTGGCATGGAAGAGTGGAAATTTTCTAGTTGGCAACTTTATTGATAAATAGGTTAGTATACGAACTTTTAATAAATTGCTTCTCATTCCAGCCAGTCAGCTGGTCAACGGGTTACAAAGGTGCAATTAGGCCAGAGGAATGTGGTCTGGTGCTCACATCACACAGCACGTGACTGCAGTTATATGTTTCTAAAAAGTCAGAAGAGGGGACTTTCTCTTTCCCTTTTTTCTTTCTTCCTTCTACCTCCCCTTTCTGAGGGAGTGGGGGTGGAGCATACATGTGGAGGCCAGAGGTCAGCCTCAGGTGACATTCCTCAGAGATTTCTACTTTCTGCTTTTTAATCCATTACTGGGGCTGCAGAGATATAGCTCAAGGGATTAAGAGCACTGACTATTCTTGCAGAGGACCTGGGTTTGATTCCCAGCACCCACATGGCAGCTCACAATCATCTGTAACTCTAATTCCAGAGGACCTGATATCCTCTTCTGGCCTCCATATAGGCACAACATGGTACATGTATGTACACACAGACAAAATATTCATACATATAAAATATAACAACTCAAGCGTCCATACTTACATGGCAAGCATTTTACTAAGCCATATCCCAGTTCCCCTTTTTAGTTTATTTGAGACAGGGTCTCATGCAGCCCAATCTGGTCTTGAATTTGATATTAATATGTAGCTGAGGGTGACCTTGAACCTCTGATCCTTCTGACTCTGTCTCCGGAGTGCTACGATTACAGGAGTGAGTTACCATGCCTGGTTAGGGAACTGCTAATGCCTTTTTATTTCTTTTCTGTTTTTTCCTTTTTTTTCTTTTTAAAAAGATACTATTTTATTTTCAGTTGTGTGTCTCTGTGTGTGTGCATGTACATATGTATGTAGGTGATCATGGAGGTCAAAAGAGTGTTTCAGAGTCTCTAGAGCTGGAGTTAAAGAGGGTTGTGAACCACCTGACATGGGTACTGGGAACTGAACTCTGAATTCTGGTACTCTGCAAGAGCAGCAGCTGTTCTTAACGTGTGAGCTGTCTCTCTAGCCCCTCAGTGTTCTCAGCACAGGAAAATATTCAGGAGATTGTAATGCTATTTACCCCGATTATTACACTACATATGTGTAAATCAAAATGTAACAGTGTATGCCATAAATATGTACAGTGACATTAATGCTTAATGTGACAATTAAGCATTAAAAAGAAATTCTTCCTCTTCCTTTCCTTTTCCTGTTTTTTGAAGGGAGGGTCTTGCTATGTATCCCAGGCGGGCCTGGAGTTCATCATTCCTCCTATCTGGGCCTCCCAGGTGTTGAGAATATAGGGATGCACCACTGCCTGGCGAACTCTTCACCTTCTTCTATGGTTGCTAAATATTCTGCAACAGAGAAGATCAATATTTGCCAAGTCCCATGGCTGGGCATCTATCTATCAGCCTCCCATCCTTAGCTATGACAAACAAGGCCATACTGCTCTTGTTACATAACACACCCATAATATTTGTGCAGAATAAAATCCCAGTAGCATACACATATTTTTTTGTTTTTGTTTCTTGTTTGTTTGTTTTTTGAGACAGTGTTTCTCTGTAGCTTTGGAGCCTGTCCTGGAACTTGCTCTATAGACCCAGGCTGGCCTCGAACTCACAGAGATCCGCCTGTCCCTGCCTCCTGAGTGCTGGGATTACCACCACCTGGCAGAACATATATATTTTATTGTGTGTAGGTGTTCCTGTGTGTGCATGTGCATTCATGTAGAGGCCAGAGGTTGGCAAAGTGTCTTATTTCTCTCACTGAGTCTGGAGCTCAGATATGATAAGGTGAGACTATCTGGCTGAGAGCTATAGAAATCCTCCTGACCCTGCCTGCCAATCAAGGGCAGCCACACTGGTTTTTTACATAGGTTTTAGGAAACATGAACTTAGTTTTTCATGCTTGTGAAACAAGCACTTTTCTGACTGAGCCATACCTCAAATCTTTGTATTCATTTATTATTATTATTTTTTGAGACAAGGTCTCATTATGTAACCTGAATTGCCTGGGACTCATTACCTAGACCAGGCTGGCCTCTGCCTTCCAAGTGCTGAGCTGAGATTAAAGGTGTACCACCATGTCAAGTTTTATGCATTTATTTTTAAATAACTAGCTTTAAGATACCCTAGTCATTAGTTTAGCTAGAAATGGAAAACTTCATATTATTTGGACAAGATACCCTAACAAACTGCAGGGCATGCCAAGGTTACAGAGAGCTCTGTGGACAGCAGGGACAGAAATGAAGCAATCTAACCCAGAAGGTTTATGAAGGCATTGTGCAGCGGCCTTTTTCAAGAGTCTAAACTCCGGGTTTGCAGCACACACAGAGAAGAATCTCATAAAAACCCTGCCTTTGCAATAAAGCATGGTCCTCTAAAGACGACAGCTGGAGAGTCGAGAGTCTCGCATTACACAATGGAGAAGGACAAACTTTGATGTGCCGAATAACACCCATTCTTTTATCGTGCTTCTGTAAATTCTCCTCTTCAGGAGAAATGCAGTACAAATCTCTGCTCGTGGAAATGTTTGAAAATGTTCATCATGGGCTAGGGATATAGCTCAATTGGTAGAGTGTTTGCCTCTCACGAAACTCTGGGTTTTATTCCCAGTACTTCATTAAAAAATGGGGTGTGGTTGGTGAATGTGGGTGATTCCGGCTCAGGAAGAGAGAAGGTCAGGGGTTCTTTGCTGCATAGTGAATTCAACACCAGCCTGGGATACTACATGAGACCCTGTTTCAAGAAAAAAAGAAAGAAGGGGTGAGAGAGAGAGAGAGAAGGGGAAGGGGAGGGAGGCAGTAAGGGAGGGAAGGGAAGACAGAGAGAGCATAAATTCTTGTTAGCATGCTAGTGCAATTCTGTGTTTTGGGGGGTGCTTGAGTCCACAACAATCTGTTCCTCAGACAAAGCACACCATTCTTCATGAGACCTGGGAGGAATCACAGAATATGAGACCTGGGAGGGGTACTGAATGTCATCCTCATTTACTGGCAAATGAGACAAGTCCCCAGCTAAAATAAACTCTAGAAAGGGTCTAGGGGGTCCCCAAACCATCCAGGCTTGCTCTGAGGATTCAAGTATTTGCTATGCATCTCCTGTGTTACTGAGCTTAGCCTTGGGATGGTGCCATGGAGCACAACATAATCTGGGCTGCAGCAGCAGGTATAAGCTGGAAACTGCAGCTCCTCTGAGCCCCTCTAGGCCAAATCAGTTTCCCTTGGTCACTACAGGAGGGGTCTGAGCTTGAATTCAAACTCTGTTTGGACATCAAGTCCTTCCTCATTCCACATTTCCTATTCTGTTTCCTGAGGAAAATGCCCCCCTACCCCGACACAGAGGGAGAGAGAGAGAGAGAACCTGAAGACCCTCAGACCAAGGAACCCACTTACAGGCTCTGCAAAGGCATTGTCCCAGAGGACAGTGGCTGTCGCATTGTTGTCCTGGCTGCCGTGAACAATCACCACCACTGGGAGCGACAAGGTCTGGAAGACAGAGGATTGGACACACCATTGGTCACTTTTGCCCCATCCTTTTCTATCTGGTTTCCTGATCAGCACTGTGCCTTCCTTCAAGTTTCAGTGCTAAACTGAAGACCTGGAATGGTTCTGGCAACAGCTGGGGCCCACGCTTCAAAGGCTAAGCTATTTAATCTATTCATCTATCTCTCTATCTAACTAGCCAGCTGACTAACTTTTCCTCTTTGTACCCTAGGCTAACCTTCAAGTCATTATAGTTCAACTCACAGGCTATACTGCTGCCATGCTCAGCTTTGATTTCAAACTCTTTTTTTTCCTTTAGTTTTTCAAGACAGAATTTCTCTGTGTAGCTCTGGCTGTCCTGGAACTTGCTCTGTAGACAAGGCTGGCCTGGAACTCAGAGAGATGTGTCTGCCTCTGCCACCGCCCAGCTTGATTTCAAACTCTTGATTCTGCCTTAGCCTGCCAAAGGCTAGGATTACAAGTATGTACCACAGTACCTAGCTGGAATTGTAGGTAGTTTATAGATGAAGTTTCTTTGATATTCTGAATGACGGAACAACTTGCAGAGAAAGGGTAAGGAGATATTTCTACACACTTGCAATTCCAGCTCTGGGCACCGAGGCAGGACTTCAAGCTCAAGGCAAGCCTAGGCTACATGGTAAGTTTTAGGCTAGTCTGAGCTACACAGTAAGACCATATTTCAAACAAACAAACAAGAACCCAACCCACTAAACAAGCAAATATACAACTACAACCACGAAAACTCCAACTCTAATCTTATCTTAAATTCACACTGAGTGGTTTCCCGCGATCATTTTCCAGGCATCTTCCTAGCTTTCATAGTTTGCTATTGTTTGAGCCTAAAGTGGGTTTGAGAAAATAACAGCTCTAAGGATAAGGGTCTCTCCATTTCCCACTTATCAACAATAAAAAGGAAGATACTATGAGGTCATAATTCTTTTGGCATATAAATAGCATGCAAAGATATGCTGTATATATACTGCACAAACATACCTTACACACTACATATATACTATATACACACATACTGCCCATATATACCCCATAAACACTGCATACACATACTGCACACAATCTACACACTGCATACACAGATACAATCTCACACACTGAACACGTGGTACACACACTGTATACCCACCCTGTAAACATGTGCGTACATTGTGAACATACACTATATGAAAACACAGTGTATAGGACACTCACACACTGTACACATTGTACACTGTACATACACACACTGCAATATATACTGTGCATATACTGTATACACTATATACACATGTACACACATTGAATACATATATGGTATATACACATCACACAATACTGTATACACATTATATAAACATGCACTATATATATATATATATACACACGGTACACATACTTTGTATACTCACATACTATATACATTTTATACACACTGCACATACATATATGGTCTACAAGCTGTACATATGCATGCATACCGTGTACACACACTACATACAGTGCATACATACTGCACACACACTCACAGGGAGAGAGGGATTTACCTTGACTTGAAAGACCAGTTCATTTCCACCGACGCTAAACTGTGAGTCAAACAGGATTGTGAACTTCTCTTCTGTCACCGACTCTGCGCCACGACGATCGGACCTCTTGATTCGTTTTAGGGACTGCAAAGGAGAAGCAGGAGATGAAGAGGCCTAAGACACCAAGGGACAGTCCACTGTGCCTCTCTCAAGTCCTCACCATGTTCCTGAAGTGGGCGCTGAGGGTGCCCGTGGCCTGGTGGTACTCCATGACGCAGCAGTTGTTCAGAATCTCGCCGCTGTAGTCACTGCAAATCAGATAAAAATAAGCTGCAGACGACATAGGCCCAGAGAGCAAGCTGGAGCCGGGGAACAAAGAGGGCTGCTAGGAGCAGCTGCCAGCGAGAGGAACGAGCTTCTGAAACAAGGCACGGAAGTGACTTTCAGCAACAGGTCCCTGTCTAATGAAATGACACCATCCATCCATCCATTCATCCATTTACCTATCTAATTTATAGATGATATATATATAAAACACATATATAAGATTATATATGTTTACACACACACACACACACACACACACGTCTCCTTGATATTCATTCTCAGGTACAGAAGAGCGAGAGGGAAAACAGGAATGAGACATTAAGGAGAATTTTTATCTTGCATCTCAAGGACTGAGTAGAGTGACAAGAGGGGACACTGAAGCAAACTCACTTGCGGGTGCTCTCGTTCTTGAGCAGGGACTTGGCCTGCTGCTCACTGATGATGGTCGCCTTCACCTGCGGGGGGTTCATGTGCACATTCAGCTTCCCGCCCACCAGCAGGCGCACGGTGGCTGCAAACTTGGTCTGGGTCTTCAGGACCTGAGGAGGTTGCTTCTCAATGATGAAAGTGCTGCAGGGGACACAGGGACCAGACAGTTGACTGGATGCTGGCTCAGGGGAGAGAGCTGGGAGGCCAGCTAGGAGGGGAGGACCTTCCTGTGGGGGCTGCTAGGAATAGGAAGACAGGCAGAGGAGGAGGGGCCTGGCCTCTGTTCCCTGGAGGACATGGGGGTTTGAAGACAGGTGTGAGGGAGGCTGGACCCCACGGTGCTTCCTGCAGTGTCCCCAACACACACTGGGCCAGGACAGTCACAGCAGCAGAGCAACTAGGGCCACAGTGGGTGGGGGAAGGTGGAGCAGGACTGGGGCAGAGCTCTGGGTTTGGACTGCTCCTGGGTCTCAACATGCCCACCCCCAGGACCTGCCGTGTCCCTCTGAGCAGGACCAGGAGGCAGCAGTCACCTGGTGACCAGGGCTGAGATGATGTCTGTGATGGTGGCATTGACCTCGGCTAGCATCTCCTCCACGGGGCCTGGGATGGGCAGCTGCTGGCAGAGGTGCTCAGCCCTGCGGATCTGCTGCCGGTTCTGCCAGATGATCTCGGCTAGCTTCTCACACCTGCAAGGAGCCAGGACCCTCGTAGGGATGGTGACCTCTGCTCCAGCACAGGCCCGGGGAGCAGACCACATGACACTGTTCCCCCAACAAGACCCCCCTCAACCCCCCAAGGTGCTGGCATTGGTCACCACTACACCACTACAGGCACAGAGCCCCACTTTCCAAAAGCAGAGGACACACAGGGGCCCCAACTTGGAACCAGCCAGCTCAGCCCTGTCCATTCCAAGGCACCACTATCCCTTAGGGGAGGTGGCACAGGTCTGAGGAGCCAAGACCATCAGGAGCCCAGACAGCAGGAACCTGCTGCTCGGGCCAACACAGGGACAGAAGGCAGCTGGCACCATTGCCCAAGCCCCTGCCCACCCTGGCCACCTCCCACCCTTACCAGGACTGCAGCACGTCCAGGCTGCCCTCAGGGGGACCCCCGTTCCCGGCCAGCTGCTGCCGCCGCTTCCACTGGATCAGCTCGTCGTCCAGAATGATGGTCTGTTGCTTCCGCAGCAGCTGCAGGGTTTTCTGGTGCTTTTCAGCCAGCTCCTGCGTGAGGACACAGCGGCCTTCTGGCTCCGGGGAAGCAGCCCATAGAGCCTGGCCTAGGACCCAGGGCTTGGCCCTGCCCTCTCCACCTGCTCCACCTCATGTGTACCCCAGGAAAGAGGGGATCTGTTCTCATCTTGGCTCTGCGCCCTACCTGGCGCCCTGAATCTCAGGTGACAGAGCTCCCTCCCAGGGGCAGAGGGATGCAGGATGCACTAACCACACGGTACTGCTGCAGTGTCTGTGCCTCCCGCTGCAGCCAGGCCTCCAGGGACACTTGCTTCTGCTGGAGGGCTGTCTCCCGGCTCATGCGCTCCTGGGGGTTCAGCTGGGCCAGCTGGGCAAACTGAGCTGGAGGAGGGGACAGGACACCCACCACCATCATCTCTTGTGTCTGGCAGGAAGTCTGGAGGATCTCCCATGCTCAGGGTCAGACACCCCATGACAGTAAGTCGGTTCCAATTAACCTGGGGTGTCTCATGATGAAGGGGCTCTCTCAGAAGTCAGTCTCTAGCCTCTCTGATCAGGGGTCGAGCAGGCTGGGAACAGGTGCTTGATAGGGAAGCAAGTCCTCGGCAGTGCCTGCCTCCCGTTCACCACACAGAAGGCATCCCATGGGCTATTGTGTACAAGTGGCCCCATGGTTTACCAGCTGCATGAGCTCAGGCCGATTCCTTTCTCTCCTGTGCCCTCGTCCCCCATCTATAAAGGAAGAGCCCTGACAGCAGTTTAATGGGCTGCTGTGAGACTAATGCTCCCATCCTTTTTTTTTTTTATGTATGCTGGGGATCAAACCCAGGACTTGGTGAATGCTAGGTGAGCACTCTTCCAACTGAGCTACATCCTCACCTTTCAATAGATATGGACAGATCCTGACACAGCAGGGTACAGAGTCACAGAAAGACTGTTTGTCCAGGGTCGGTTACCACTGCTCGCAACCCTTCCTTGTCCCCACTCCATGTTCAGCAAGGACCCCGAGTGCTGGCATTACTGCTTCCTTCTTTGACTCTCGAGCAGCCCAGCATCCTTCCTCGGGTCTTGCTAAGTACACACTGACAGGCCTCATTTAAGTTCCTGATTGGCCTTTGAGAACCATGTCACACTGACCTGGTCCTTGCCCTAGGGACACACAAGCTGGGGCAGACAAAAGCAGCACTAGACAGCTAGAACAAGCCCACAACTATAATTTATGCTGGCCTCAGGGTACAGAGCTACAAGACGTGGTTCTTTCTCAACGACTACAATCTGGAAAGCCTGGGAGTCAGTAAATAATGTCAACATAGTGACATGCTGTGGTCCTCACACATGTCCTTAGGAGACACAGGCAATGGGCTTGGCGGTGTGGGGACAGAAAGTCTTCTGAGGTTCTTACTTTTCAAAGTTGTTCTTAGATTTATTTTATGTGTATGAATGTTTGGTCTACATGTATGTCTGTGTACCATGTGCATGTCTGGTGCTCACAGAGGAACTGGAGTTACAGATGGTTTTGAGACACCAAGTGGATTCTGGGAATCAAACCCTGGTCCTCTGTGACAGCAGCAGTGCACTTAACCACGTGAGCCACCACTCCTGCCCCCTCTGAGAGTCTGAAACACACAGGCAGGCAAAGAAAAGAAAGTGTTAATGCTCCCTATGGGGTCAAGAAGGAGCGCTGGTGAGGCTCCATACCCCTAGCAGAACTCTCAATCTCTGCATGCCCCAGAACAAAGGCTAGGGAACACTGTGCGTAGGGCATACGGGGCACAGGAGGGCCTGAAGAACCGCAGAGAACACTGCATGGTGGGCACCACAAATAGAGCTCCCTCAGTGTTGGGATGGAGGTCAAGGCCGCACACATGCTAGGCAAACACTATTGCTGAGCTACACTCTGAGTCCCTAAATGGGACGCACTGCCCACTGATCACTTTGGCAAGGCTGCATTTATAGAACGCGTACCTCCTCCAAGGCACTATGCCCTCTATATGCTATTTATTAAACTGTAAATGCCTCTTCAAAGAAAACATCTTCTATGGTCACCCCAAACTCCCTGAGTACAGGAAGTCTGAGTGAGACCCTCCCACTCTCCCTGTCAGGGGCCATGTGCTCTCCCTCCCATCCCCAGAGCATCCTGGGCCGTGATGCGGGCCTCACCTTGGATCCGCAGGCTCTCCTGATACTGGATGATGAAGTACTCCTGGGTCTGCTGCAGCTTCTTCAGCTCGTTCTCCGTGTCCTGTGTGATGAGGCGCAGCTCCTCAAACGTCTGGTTGATCTGAAGGTGCTTCTGGGACATGGCGTCAGCAAGACTTCCAGCTGGAGAGCTCCCCTAGGGAAAGATGGGGAGATTTAGGGTGTAAGGTGAAGCTAAGACTGCCAAAATTAAGTCTGAGGTCAGAAGAAATCGCAAATGCCATGTGTGAGAACTGGGGTCGAATGGAGAGACAGGTGACCTGCAAGATACTTGCATGGTGAAACGTGCTTCAGCTTTGGCCCCCACCGGAGCATACAGACATCCATCCTACACGGGATGCTCCTGACTCCTCGAGAGACTAGAACTCCACACGTCCCAGGGTCACCCGGGTCTGATTCCTTTTTCATTCACTGACTCAAGGCCTGACTGTGGCTAAGTTGGACATACGTGGTCTGTGTCTGTTTCAGGACCTTCCGGTGATGAATCGTTTGCTTCCACCGTGCATGAAGCCACACTTCTCAAAGGTATCCTGAAGCCCCTCAGATGAAGTTCTGGGGGAGGCGCTCACAAGGCCTCTGTGGATCTGGTGTGTAAGTGACTAGGAATGGCCCACCCCTTCAGCCGCGGCCCAGAGGGAGTCGAGAAATTTCTCCTAAGGAATTGCACCTGAATGTGAGCATGCTTCAACACAAAAATGATTTCCTTGGGGGTTAAACTATTTTGCACCAGGTTCACCCTGTTTTATGGCCGTATTCTTACTGAATTATAGGCCTAAGATCAGCTCCCTAAAAAGACACGAGTGCATCCTGGGTTAACTCGACTAAGTGGGGTCAAGGGGAATGGATCAAAAAGGGCTCCCCAGCCCCCACACCTATGGGAACTCACATTGTTAGCTTCTCGGACCAGTCTCTGCTCATTGTACAGAATGTGCCGGATACAGCGAACCAGCTCCATGGGGCAGCGGTCGTACGTGTTCTGAAAGAAGACAACAGCAGACATCACTTTGTTCCACTCTGTGCTCTGAGTTAACCTGACTCAGGGCAAGGAGCACTCATGACGGAGATGTGGAGACGGCGGAACCACGGTAGTTGCTGCTCCTCCCATACGGGCAGGAATGAGAAAAAGACATCACGGAAAATGTAATTACAGAGAAAAGGTAAGGCTGTTTTATGTTCTGAATCTTAATGCCTAAAGCACTACAGTGATGTTCTTGGAAATGGGCAAGTTTTTAAAAGGCCTCAGCAGACAAGAGACAGGACACTGAAACTTCCTGTCAGTTATAATCAGAATTACTATCACAGCGAGGGGAAGATGGGTTGCTTCAAGTTTAAGACTAGCATGAACTACAATGGGAGACCCTGTCTCAACAACAAGTCACAAAATTGAAACCGAACCAAACAAAACCTTAAATAGGTATGACAACTAGGTATAATATGTGATCTTGGACGGGGTCCTGGATGGCAGAGTGGAAAATACCCTAATGGACACTTCTGAGCCAGCTGACAAAATGAACCCAGAGTCAGACTATTAAGTCAAACTAAACGAGAATGATAAACACACTAAAGCTGCATGGTGACAATGAAAGAAAAGGTTCATGTTCTTAGAACACACACACTGAAATGCTCAGGGCAAGGGTCATAATGCAATTTACTGTCAATTAAAAATAATGTGTGTGTGTGTGTGTGAGAAAGAGAGAGAGAGAGAGAGAGAGAAAGAGAGAGAGAGAGAGAGAGGGAGCGGGAAGGAGGGAAATGAAGAGAGACGGATGTGAGAGAGATGGCTAAAGGGCATCAGGTGCCTCTGAGCTCATCTATGTAGGGGGCTCTTTGTACGACTGCTGCAACTTTCTGTAAATTCAAAATTATTTTCAAATAAAAAGTTAAAGGAGGGAGTAAACTCCTGGCTGAGAGCGGCACACCTGGAACCCACACGGGGCTGGAGTGGGACTGATGCAGGAAGAACTCTAGTTGGTGGCCAACTTGAGCTAAACAGCGAGGCATTTTTTTTTAATAAAGATTTTATTTTCTATTTTATTTTAATTTATGTGTATCTGTATGTCGCATGTTGATGGGTGTATGACCTTCTAAAGCCATCAGAAGAAGGTATCTAAGCCCCTGGAACTGGAGTTACAGGTAACTGTGAGTCCCCTGATGTGGGTGCTGAGAACTGAACCCAGTGTGCTGGCTGGTTTTGTGTCCACTTGACACTAGTTAGAGTCATCAAAGAGGAGCAAGCCTCGATTTAGAAAATGCCTCCCTAGGCTTGGGTTGTAGGCAACTTTGTAGGGCATTTTCTTAATTAGTTATTGATGTGGGAGGGCCCAGTCCATTGTGGGTGGGGCCACCCCTGGGCTGGGGTTCCTGGGAGCTATAAGAAAGCAGGCTGAGCAGCCACGGGAAGCAAGTCAGTAGGCAGCATTCTGCCATGGCCTCTGCCTCAGCTCCTGCCTCCAGGTTCCTGCCTTGCTTGAATCCCTGTAAGACTTCCTCCAATGAGGAACAGTGATGTGGAAATGTAAGCCAAAGAGACCCTTTCCTTCCCAAGCTGCTTTTGTTCACCATGTTTCATCACAGCAATAATAACCCTACGACAGGCAGGAAGTGCTCCTAACCACAGAACCAACTCTCCAGCCCCACAGTGAGACTCCTTTTTCAGAAGGTAACGCCATGACCACAAAACCAATCAGAACCGTAAGCAGGGAACACATAATTGTACGGTGCTGGGTTGGAGATCAGAACATACATGTCTACAGAAGATTAAAGGAAGGGAGAAGTCCTCGAAGGGACAGGGCCCAAGTGTTGTCAGCATTTGCACCCACCTGGAGCTGCGTGGCATAGTGCCCCAGCTTGATCTTCAGCAAAAACCCATCTTCCCCCACCTGGTGTTCTGCCTTCTTCTGCAGCTCCTGCACCAGGCCCTCCAGGAGCTGGGTGGCCTTAATGTTCTCCTGTGGATTATCAAGATCTATTGAGTCCCTAGGGGAAAAAAATTACACAATCTGTATACATACATGCACAGGAGCCTGTACACATGCAGTCTCTACATACTACACTTGTTTTCTGGGGCTTCTTTTTTTTTTTCTTTTGGGCCAGCGACTCAAAAGTGTCCTGCCTCAACCTCCCAAGTTCTGGAACTATAGGTGTGATCCTGAAACATGATTTCTTCCTACTATTCACCTGTGTTAAGAAACATGCCAGTACACGTTAGCTAAATGTCTACATTGCTCTACTCTAACGACCTTAGCTGAACTGTGCATTTCTTCCTTTAAAGAAACAAATAAAAAACAACAGCCCCCTTTCTGCTTCCCTTGATTCTAGCATTAACCCATTGCCTCCTAGGAACGAAGGGGAAAGGTTTTTTCTGCACTCTGAAGGGAATAAGGGGTCTGTTAACGTCTGGTTTATAGACCCAGCTCCAGGGTGTTAGGGGCACAAGGTCAAGACCGTTCTGCGTGTCCTTTCCAGCCTCAGCTGCTTCCAGGCCCCTAATTACCACCCTTTGTAAGGAACCCCGGAAAGGAGGCATCAAGGCAGAAGGTGCCTACAAGCATTCACACCCATGAGAAATGTCTGTCATCGCAGCGCACGTGGAGCTCGGAAGCAATGCTAGCGTCCAGCGAAGGTGAGAAAAGCCAGTCCACCGCCTCCTGTCAGGCAGGGCTATTCAACTGGTGACAAGGGCTGGGCTCACTTCCTCCTTATCTTTTTTTTTTTTTTTTTTTTTTTGTCCTTTTAAAATTGTTGTCTACAAGTTAGGCAACAATTGCTACTGGGCAATACTCAAGTGACTTAGCACGCTAAGAAACCAGACAGCCATCACGTTGAAATAGTATCTAATTACTGCTGACCAGGTCTAGAGCCAGGGAAGAGGGCCAGTGGCAGCTAAGAGACGGCCACCCGCAAATCCCTGCAGTTAATGAGTGGCTGATGGCAGACAGAGCTGTGCACGGGTGTCATCAGAGACCACCGTCTGGAGAGGCAGTGACAAAAGCCGGTTTTAGATATGCATGCTCTACGTATTGAATAAGAGGTCGTGAATGAAAGTCTAGAAGGATTGGAGGGACAGCCTTACACTTCTGTTTGGACTGGGAGCCTAGGGTCCAGTCTCTGAGCAGAATTCAGTAGCCTGGCTCTCAATTTGAACTCAACTGCGACCTATAACCTATGACCTATGACAAAAGACTTCATGACTTCAATACGCAGAGGTAGAAACTCTTCATTGATGTCTTTCTTTTCTTTTTTGGTTTTTCAAGACAAGGTTTCTCTGTGTAGCCCTGGCTGTCTTGGAACTCACTCTGTAGACCAGGCTGGCTGTGAACTCATAGAGATCCACCTGCCTCTGCCTCCCGAGTGCTGGGATTAAGGTGTGAGCCACCACCACCTGGAACATATCTTCATTTTCTTATGAAAAACAAAAACTATCTAAAATCCAGGTTTTCCTTAACAACAACACAAACTTTTCAAAACGTCCTCAGTAAGAGTACGACCCGGGAGGTTTGCTAAAGGGAAGCACTTTGCCTAGGACTGCTGGGACTCTGGACTTGAGTAATTCCCCTGCCTCAGCCTCCTGAGTGGCTGGGATTACAGACATGCACTACTGTACTCAAATAAACGAAAGCTTTGTTTTGTTTTCTTGTGGTGTTGGGTCAGGTCCTGGTGTCTGCTGAACAAATGCTCTACTGTCCTACATCCATCCTATCTCCAGCGTCTAAATGGGATTTTAAATAAACAGAAATTTCCTACTAATGTTTTCTTAAATTCCCCAAATCATTAAAACAAAAAAGAAAAGGAAAAGGAAAAACACTAACCTAGGTGTGTTTGCTGTTCTTATATTTAGTCAGGTTTTCTGTCTTAATTACATGAAGCTGGGATTTTTTTTTTTAATTTCCTAGAAAACTGCCTTCCTTCAGCACGCTTGTTTCCGAACGGAACCCTGCTAACAGCTGCTGCAATTATTCTAAGGCAACATCACAGTGGGTATGGCCAACTTTCTCCCAACAGCACTAGGACTGGCCTCTTCTAGGAGCTGTCAAAGAGGAGCCACCACCATGGTGAAAACCCAGCTAGTCTGATGAACATGCCAGACTGACTGACAACCTGGGGCCAACCAGCAAGCTCCCTGCGCTGCACGCTGTCAGGCACAGCTGGCTGCTGGTGTTCAATGTTGTCAGTGAGGGTGCTGCAGGGCAAGAGGGGCAGCTCGGTGGTAGACGGGTCGTCTTGTGTGCGGGAAGCTTTGCCTCAGGATTGCAAAGTAAGATGCCTTGCTGCTGAATGTGTTACACCGATCTAACAAGTTTAAAACTCAAGTACATAGTGCATAATTTGAGAAGTAAAGATAAAAACGTTGGCTAAGTCAACATTGAAATGTAATCATTGTTCATATTTTAAAAAAAACTGTGTGTGTGACAACATGCATGCCACAGAATAGTAAGGGAGTCAGAGAACAACTTTCAGGGCTCAGTTTTCTTCTCCAAAAGGGTTCTAAGGATGAAATTCAGGACATCAGGATTGATGGCAAGTTTCTTTACTCACTGAGCCATCTTGCCCTATTGCTAATATTTTAGAATATTTTGTCTGCATGTGCACATATAAATTAAAAACATAAATGTTTCAAGACAGGTATAGTGGCACATGCCTTTAAACCCAGAATTAGGCAGGCAGAGGCAGGTGGATTGCTGAGTTCACATTAGAGCCTGGTCTACATAGTAAGTTCACGACAGCCAGAGCTACAATGGGAGACCCTATCTCAGAAAACCAAAAAATAAAGAGCCATGAATGTTTTGATTATAAGTTAATATACTAAATGTTAGTTTATGTGATATAAATTTTCGCATGTGGGAAGCAAGGGCAGGCCGATCTTGAGTCTAAGACTTGTCTGGTCTACATAATGAATGCAGGCCATCTACAGCTATACATTGAAAACTTACCTTGGGGGAAAAAAGCCAGGCACGGTGCACATCTTTTGTCTCAACACTTAGGAGGCAGAGGCAGGTGGATCTCTGAGAGTTCCAGGTCAGCCTGGACTACATAATGAAACAAGACAGCCGGGGTTTCATAGAGAGACATTATCTCAACGCCCCTCCCCCTCCAAAAAAAGCAAGTTCAGGGGCTGGAGAGACGGTTGTATGCTTAAGAGGGCTTCTTGTTTTTCCAGCGGACCTGAGATCAGACCCCAGAACTCACACTGAGGGGCTCACAATCACCTGTAACCCCAGGTTATCTGGGATTTGACGCTGTTTTCTGGCCTCTCCACGGACCTGCCCTCAAGTGTACATAGCCACATACAGACACATAAATATACACAGAATTAAACCACAACAAAGATTAAAATCCAAGAGTTAGTTTATCTCCCAAAACCTAAGAAAAGGGTAAACACCTCTTCTTGAGTTACATAAACAGTTTTCAAACAGTTTTTCTTGGAGACAGGTCCAAGGACTGAACCCAGAATCTCATGCATGCTCGCCACCACTGAGCTACATACACAGCCCAACACACACAGCTTTTGAATTTTTTTTTTAAAAGATAGGGACAGGGTCTCACTCTGCTATTCAGGCTTGCCTGAAACTTGCAGTCCCTCTGTCCTAGCCTTCAAGGTGTTAGGATCATGGGGGTGACAGGGGTGGACCACTAGGCCCGGGTTACACATATAAACTGGTCAGTTATAACATTTTTCTAATCAAAGTTCAGGATCCTTGTGCTTGAAACATGATGTAGAAACGCTGTTCACCTACCAGGCTTGACTTTCAATCCACTGGGATAAATAGTGTCGCACCTCGATGGGGAAGTGCTGGCCATACAGGGCCTGCATCTGATGTAGGGCGTCGCCCTGGAGCTGCTGAGCCTGTATCCACATCGCCATGGTTCACCACCTGTTAAACACAGACCTTGATTTGTTTGTTTGTCTCTAGCCCTCCCCACAAATTTAAAGTCAATGGAGTAAATATGTACAGGGTTTAAAAGTGAACGTTCTTTCTCCCTTTGGTACACCTAAGGTCAGGCCTTTAAAACCGTCTTCTTTACTATTGTCTGTGACATGCGTGGGTGCACATGTGCCAGGGTGAATGTGCAGAGGTCAGAGGGTTCTTTCCTTGCACCTTTGTGTGGGTTCTGGGGATCAAACCTGGGTTGCCAGGTTGCCCAGCAATTGCCTTTTCCCACCGAAGCATCATCTCACCTGCCCAGGATCGATATTCTCTAGCTGACTTTGAGCTTTATAATGCTTTAAAAATGCAGCCGCTCACTCAGCGCGGTCATGGGAAGGGGCCCTGGATGGGTCTATGAAACGTTCACTTCTGTGGCGCAAAAGACAACACCGTAAACCAGCTCTCTAGGCACGGCGGGGCCAACAGCTTTGCTACCCTGGTCCCGGCCTTTACTTCTGTTGGAAAGCGCCACGGGTGCTAGGTAGGGTCCCACAGTCGTCATGATGGTTAGCAGAGTGACCAGAAATGGGGCTCCAGATTTGGGCTTTGTGAGACGAAGAACAGGCTACCACGTGAAAAGGAGCTGGGAGAGAGGTGGGAATAGACGGCAGACTGAGGCTGCGCGCTATCTTAGGCAGCTCTGCAGCCATGCCCTCAGAGCAGAGGCTTATCTTGCCGAGCTCCCTAACATTCAACCTTGGAGTTATTGCTATGGGACTTGTAGAACAGTGTTCTGTTAAATTACAGCACGAACAGTCCAACACAAAGACAATATACATCAACTAAGGGAGTAAGAATGGACTGTTGTATTCTACTGTGAGGAGTGGGCAGGCTTTAGGAGGGGTTTGTGGTTACTTTTGTGTGGAGATTGAAGCTCAGACCTTAACCATGCCAGGCAAGTGCTCCACAGTTGATCGACAGCCCAGCCCTCTTTGTCACTTTTTATTTGGAGACAGTGTCTCACTCAGCTGTCGAGGCTGGCTATATACTCACTCTGTAGTCGGGGTAGGACTCAAACTTGACATCTTCCTTTTTTATTTTTGGCTTTATGACATGGGGTTTCTCTGTATCACAGCCCTGGCTGTCCTGGATTATAGACCAGGCTGGCCTCGAACTCACAGTTTCACCTGCCACTAGTCTCAGCAACAGTGAGTTTGTGTTGTAAACTGGTTCTTGTGGTGGCACTGCGTGTAATCCTGGAATTTAGGTGGTGAAGGTGGGAGGATCAAGAGTTCAAGGCCAACTTGGGCTTCCTGAGACTGTCTTAAAGAAACAACACCAAAACCAGAACAAATACCGCCAATGAAAACAAGCTTCAGGAAATGGCTTTATGAAACTACTAGGACCCTTTTCAGACAGACCTGAGAACTGAACGCACTTGGCAGAGACCTTCTGGGATTCCCCAGACTGAACAAGCTATGTTATATGAAGACATGAAAACCAGATCTTCCTCTAATGCTGCTTTCTGTAATGTGGGACCAGGCATCTTGAATCCCACCTAAAAACGGTTTAGCTACTGATTTGCACAAGTCTCCTCAGGACTGCATTACAGCCATGGCCCAGTGCTCTGGACCTGGGTTTTGTTGACTACCAGAGTGCACACGTATGCCAGGAAACAAAGATCCTTCTCTGAGATCAGTGGCGGTCTGGTCAAGTAACACTGAGCTATTTATGGGACAAGCCAGTTATCCAGCAATGAGGAGCGGGGTGGGTGCCGGTTGCCTATTTTAGAGTGCGTGCTGCTATAGAACACTTGAACGACACATGGTTTAATTTGGGGCTTTCGGACTTTAGTGTTGGGACAATGGTGAGATTTTCCAAGACAACAACAGATTTCAGTGGGTGTGAGTTTACCAGAAGAAAACTGGGACAGAAAAGCATCCTACTTCCTAGTCAAACATCTGGACGACAGCTGTATATATATATATTTTTAGGACCATCTCCCAATCAGAACAATATCAGCTTGCAATTTTGGAAAAAGGGCAAAGGGATAGCGGGAAAGGAGGCTGGAGATGTACGCATACAGAAGTCCAACAGCGAAGTGAAGGGCAGGGTTCGGGCAGCCGTCTTTCTCAGCGGGGAACAAGGATGGGGGCTGGAGAGGTGGCTAAGGGGTTGAGAGCACTCATTGCTCTTCCAGAGGACCTGGGTTTGGCTCTCAGCACCCACATGATGACTCACAACCAGCTGTACCTCTAGTTCTAAAGGATCTGATGCCCTCTTCTGGCCTCCAAGGGCACTGCACACAAGTAGTGCACAAACATTCAAGCTTAAAGAACACTCACACATATAAATACATCTTAAAAAAAAACACAAAAACAAAAAAACAAACAAGGACCAGGCCAGGGAGATGGCTCAGACAGTAAAGTGCTTGCCTTATAGGTATGAGGACCCAAGACTGAATCCTAGAACCCAGGTAAAAATCCGGGCAGGGTGGTACACACTTGCAATCTCAGTGCTGGAGAGGGGGAGACAGTAAGATACCCAAGACTCTCTGGCCAGTCAGCCTGACCTAACTGTCCAGTTTCAGACCAACGAGAAACTGTCTTTAAAAGAGGGCAGGGCTGGAGAGATGCGTCAGTGGTTAAGAACGCTAGCTATTTTTCTAGAGGACCCAGGTTCAATTCCCAGCACCCACATGGCAGCTCACAACTGTCCGTAACTCCACTTCCAGGGGATCCAGACAGTCATGCTGGCCAAATACCAATACACATAAAATAATAAAACAAATTTTTTAAAAAGAGGCTGGTCATGATGTCATGAGACAGAGGCAGGAGGATGTCTGTGAGTTTGAGGCCAGCCTGGTCTATATAGCAAGTTTCAGGTCAGCCAGGACTTCATAGTAATACCTTGTCTCAAAAAAGAAAGAAAGAAAGAAAGAAAGAAAGAAAGAAAGAAAGAAAGAAAGAGAGAGAGAGAGAAAGAAAGGATGACTAGCTCCTGAGGTTAACTTCAAACCTCTACAAGTGTACACCACACAACCACACATACATATATACACATGCCCATGTGCTCACACACACTTGGACACACATATGCACACCCATACACTCACCCCTAGAACGAGGTAGAAGTAGGAACTCACTGTAGCTTCTTAACGAACATGTGAATGTGAATGATTCCAACAGATGAAAAAAATCTCGTGTTTGCAAATTCCTGTGCTGAACTGCCCCAAGACAAAAGAAGGAAAGTGGTGCGAAGGCCCAAGCCCTCTTCCCAATCCATTCAAATCAAACAGCAGCGTGCTCACTCTCTGCTCCTCTCCGTTCTCCTTCCTGTCCCTCACCACTGTCTGGCATGCAGCATAGATCTATTTCCTATTTTCTCTATTACTAGGAGAAGGACTTATTTGAAACAGTGCCTGGCATATAAGTATCACTATTTTTTGTTGCTTTATTAAACAAGTACATAAAACAAAGCTGAACATATGAGCTATTTTCTTTTTTAAGATATACATTTCTTATTTGTTTGTTTAATGTGTATGGGTGTTTTGCCTGCGTGGATGTCTGTGCATCACATGTGTGCAGTGTCCTAAGAGGCCAGAAGAAAGCTTCAGATCTTCTGGAACTGGAATTACAGGTGGCTGTGAGCTGCCATGTGAATGCTGGGAACTGAACCCAGGTCTTCTGGAAGGGCAGCCAGTGCTCTCAACAGCCGAGCTATCTCTCCAGGCCCATGTCAGCCTTTTAAAAGTTATTATGGAACATACCATCAGTATGGAATTCTAAGGTGTAGGAAGGATCATCTCAATTAGCTCATCAACTACAACTGAATAGCTGGACAGGTCTATGTGGGTGACAGCCTCTCTTCCACTACACGTGCCTGTCATTTTCTGTCTAGTTTTCTTTGTTTTGTCTTTCCCCACTGAACTCCAACAGAAGTAAAGAGGACATGTCTTACTGTCCTGTCCCTAAAGTATATGTATCGTGGCTCAGCAGAAGAGGTGAACAAGTATTGCTAAATCAGTGGCTCTTAGCCTCTCTAAGGCTGCGACCCTTTAATACAGTTCCCCATGTTGTGGTGACCCCAACCACAAAATTATTTTTGTTCCTATTTCATAACTGTAATTTTGCTACTGTTATGAATCATAATGTAAAATTTGTGTTTTCCAATGCTTTCTGAGGCGACCCCTGGGAAAGGGTCAATTGACCCCTAAGGGGTCGTGACTCACAGGTTGAGAGCCACTGTGCTAAATTAACAAATACATAAATATTTCACATGTCCTGTTAGCCAGTCTTATTACATATAACATATTACATATAACAGGAGTCTATTGTTGTTTTAAGAGAAAAACACAGCTCAGTGTGGTGGTATGCACCTGCTATCTCAGCACTTGGTAAACTGAGGCAGGAGGCTGTGAGTTTAAGGCCATACAGGGCTTACAGAAAATACCTTGTCTCTTACAAAAATCAAACACTTTTTTTTTTTCCAGAGAGTCTCACTATGTAGCCCTAGGTGGTCTGGAACCAGCTAACCTTGAATTCACAGAGATCCACTGACCTCTGCCTCCCGAGTGTTGGTATTAAAGGCGAGCCCAGCTTCAAAAAGATGCAAAAACAAACCCACAAAGACAGCAGTACTGCGGAGACATACATAACAGCAGGGCGCGCGGATTTAGGTTTTACGCTGAGGCTTGGTTTTTATTGAGGAACAGAGCACTGAGCTCTGAGAATCTGTCAGAGTATTTTTCTGATTCCAATTCTGAGCAAGCCATGCTGGTTATTATTTTTTAGTAGCATGCTAATACTACTTGAAGAGCAATAGCTGGTAATGCAAAGTAGTAAACGCTTGTTTTGGTAAACGCAGTGTAGTGTCACAGCATAAAAGCGCTCTGACTGGGATGGAAGCAAGGCTACTGAGCCCGTCTGGCTCACTGCCTGATAAGAATGTAAAGGACACAGGCAGGAGTAAGGAACCCGAATGCTCCCAGGGCAAGTAAATGATCA